CGGAAAAATCAGTGCCGTTAGCGACAAAAATCTGCGGGGAGCTATGCAAAAAACGCATCTTCGCACGGGCAGCGGGTGCATTGGCCAATTATTATACATTTTAATCGGTTTTTTAAAGGGAGTTTGTGTTTAGGGTATAGACAATCGCGTCCGAAGAAGATTTAAGGGCCAGCGACGGATGCCGAAAATTGGATATGGTAATAACAAGAAAACACGTCATATGCTGCCGAACGGTTTCCGCAAAGTGCTCGTACATAATGTTAAAGTAAACTATTTGTGTTTTAACTTCCGAGTTCAGCACTCTTCCGGACCTCATTTCCAGTGCGGATTAAATTTTGGGAAAGAAGTGACTATAAAATCCAACTTCACATTACAACAGTCTCAACGGGATGAGGGAGAAGGGGCAGATAGTTTTAGATTGAGTTAGACAGACACACATTTTAGATTGTTTAGCCATTTCTGGTGGTATTGATACTATTATAAGCTTACAGCATCTACTGATTCATATCGTGCTGTTCCATCTGCACAGTTGTCCACTTTCCCCATCTGCCTTGACCAATGCTGAAATCGCTGTTGATCAGCTTTCTGCCGATCGTGGCGTTTGTTTCATTCTCCAGAGGGATTGCGAGCTTAGCAATTTCTCACCACGAGCATTTCGCAGGGGCATTTTTCACTTGTCGACAATTGGAGTAATGACATTCCAGGACTTGGAGATGCTGCTGATGCAGAACAAACGATTCGCAGGTGAAGTGGCACATGGCGTTTCATCCAGAAAGCGCAAAAGCATTGTGGAACGCGCCCAGCAGCTCAACATCAAGTTGACAAATGGTCATGCACGGATCCGATCGGAAGAGAATGAATAAAATTTTTCTTTTCGTAAAATGCGTGGGATTTTGAATTTTGAATATTGTTTTTGAGGCAAAATTTGATTGAAATGCAATTCCCTCCCAGTTTTGTTCACTCTTATTCTAAAATAAATGTTATTGTTTGTTAAATACACTGCGTTTTTGGCCCTGACAAAGCTAGACGCACATTTACCTCGATTTAGAAAGTTGCGAATACCTGCAGTATGTATCGAATAGGAATTAGCTTATACTTTGATTGTTTCAGATTTTTATTTTTTTTCTGGGAGGAATGGACAAGTCATGTAGTAAGGATGAAGTTACATTCCCCTCCACCACATTTTGCTCGAACCTGTCGTTTTTCCCCTGTGAGACATCTTTTTTAGCGATATTTCCCTTCAAACGTTGGAAGACTTTCTGGTGCTCAAAGTTTTACACTGTTCAGCAGTCAGAATTACGAATTGGAACAAAGTACAAGACAATTAGCGCAGCGCGAACTACACGAAGTATCACAGCTCAAATCGAATACCATGGAAAATACTCGAACACAACAGAAAATCACACTCCGCGAACTGCTCTAGTAGCGGAGGAAACAACAACAACAAAAAAAAACGAGGGACAGCGACATTAAGTTTTCTTAATTGGGTACATACGTGGAAAGTCGTATGGCCATCTTCTGTCGCTGTTGATTTAGTTGCTCTACTTCAAACAGTACTGAGACCGCTAGACAGGCTCCACTTGTAAGTCATTATCGGAGGCATCGAATTTTCGCCTTCACAATTTGATTTTGGAGCGCTTATGACTGATTCTTAATGAAACAAACACAAAAAAGGTGTGGATCTCCCAAGTATGATGCACGGTACATCGCTCAGATTAGAGATTTTACGCATTTCGGGCGAGGATCACTGAACTGCGTTGTGGATGAAACGCAAAAAATCGATACATAAACAAACGAACAAGCATCAGTTCTTCTGGCATCATAACATGTGAACATAGGCGAATCCAGGAAGGACTTCTGGGAGCGCGGAGAGGGAAAAGGGCGACAGTCCCCTCCCTCCCTGGAATTACGCAAAAACGAAGAACAGAGTTCTAACACTGCTACTTAGAGTTACTTTAGTTTAGGGTTACTTTAAGATTTAGTTTTAGCCCTAATCATGGGCTTTTACAGTGATGCCTGTGGCACTAGCGCGTCCCTTCCCCTGCATCCGCCTATGCAAGTCAAATATAGTTGTTAAGTTTTATTTTTGCGATCACTTGGATCGACTATTTCAAAACAAATTTTAAAGCCCGCAAGCACTAGTGGGGCATACGCGCTGAACAAACACATTCAAATAGAGTTATAATTCGTAGAACTGCTCAGCACCGATTTGCAAACAAAGGCTGAGTTATGGCAGTATGTACAAACAACAGTAAATGCCCCCGCACAACAAGACAGCCGGCGCGATCATACGTTTTGCGCAGTTCCGTTCAACGGACGTTAGCCTGCTAAAAATACAACTGTTTTACACTTTCGTATGTGCAAAACCAGTCGATATGTTCTTTGGCTTCTAGACTGAGAATTTACCAGCTAAAAATTCCACGTACGGGGATGAACTTTGGACGGGGAACACCCCTACTAATTTCAAATTCTTAGTTTTCCGGCTTCGTACTGATGGCTTTCACACTAAAACTCTTGCATGGTCGTACGTGAGACCTTGGCATATCTAAGAGCCAAATCTGAGTTTATGAGGTCTTTGTGTAGACGGAAAACATCCGCCTAAAATTTCAGCTTCACGGCTTTCTTGGTCTCCGAGATAATAACTTTCTCGTCAAAACTTTAGCAAAGCCGTGACAAGAGACCCAGGCGTACGTTAGAGCTGAATTTGAATTTGCGGCAAAAAAACACCCTCCCAAAATTCCAACTCCTATCTTTTGTAGCTTTTCAGATAGTAATTTTTTCCGTCCAAAATATCATGGGCCGTGAGACCGAAATTTGAATTCGCAAGGTCAAAAGTGAATTCAACATTCCCATTAAATCTCTGTTTTCTAACTTTCTTGCATAATAATTGCCCCGCCAAAACTACCACAAGGTCGCAGGTGATGCATAGGCGCACGGGGACGCTGGATTTAATTTGCTAAGCCTTGCGGGCAGGAGACATTGCCCCAAAATTTCAGATCCCTAGCTCCCCTGCTTCCCGAGATAATAATTTTCCCAATCAAAACTTTCACGGGTCGTATGTGATACCCGCATGCACGGGACGGCTGACTTTAAATTCGCGGGGTTGCACGTGGGCGGGGACATTCTAGCAAAATTTTAATCTCCTAGCTTCTGTGGCTTCCAAGTTGAAAGCGTGATACAAAATGTACTCGGACAGACACAAATAGAGGCGTAATAATATACGTTTTGTACTGCTGTTACAGCGTAAAATGGATAAAAAGGGAAGCATTTGGTCGCGTTTGATGAATATGAAGCAAAAATCACGATTCCGGACTGAAAATGCTATGCCGCGCCTTCTTCGCCGGGGTACCGAATTCCTGCGCCGGCCGTTTCGTCGCGGTTTGCATCTGCAATTTTTCGATACTGTTCAATTAACTAAAAAAATACGATCTGTCTTGCAGGTACCCAAGAATAAATTACATTTATGGAAAGTGTTGCAAGTACTAGGACTGTCCAGACATTCGCTGTTGATAACATCCTACAGCAAATAACATATTACTGGGATGCTTCGCTTGTCTAACATAGTTAAGCCATAGTTTTTGATTTCAGGATGCATAATTCCAGTAATTACTAAGAGACTGTTCGATGTATGTGCATCACCTCTTTTGCAGACGCCGAAAAAAAGTGGTTGTTTAATGAGTGGTACCACTTCGTGGGTACCGCTCATTAAGGCGTGACATTTGAAAAAATTATGCAAAAAACTTTTTGTTTATGAAGAGGAGAATGAAAATCATGAAAGAAAATCAGTAAATTTAGTAATCAATGTTTTTTTTTACATGTTCGAATATTTTGAAAAATAATAAAAGCAGTACTTTGTCGGGTTGTTCATTTGTGGACAAGTTCGTAGATGCTGGTGCAGTTGCATAGAACGTGATGGGAGTCTGTTCCACTACATGAATTAAGCTCTTGCGGTGGGATAAAAGCGAATTCCGACAAGTCGGAGAATCAGTTGCTGTTCTGCGTGATTGGCTTTGGCTGCTGCTTCGATTCAGATCTGCAATTCATCCCCCACACAATGTAAGCTGAAAAGCATGCGACACTGGGGCATAGTG